ACCACGGGTTGGGGGGGGGTAGTTTTTTTGATAATTTTTTTGGTTTCGGGGCCTTTTTGGGCAAGCGTTTGGGTCCTAGTCCCTCCCCGCGGGGGAACAAACAAGGCGGGGGGGGTTTGGGCTTCCCCCCCCGCGCCGTTTTAGGGGGGGGGGAAAAATTTACCCCAAAACCCTCAGGTGCTTTTGGTTTTTTTTTTATAAAAAATTTTTCCTTTGGGATAAGAAAAGAGGGGGGTGGTTTTGGGTTTTTTTTTTTTTCCCCCCGGGGAAGGGGTTTTTTTTTTTTTCTTTTTCTCCCCCCCGGAAGGGGGGGGGGGGGGGGGGGCGTAGAAAGTCCAGTGTTGTTGCGCGATGTCCGAGATGAGTCGTGCAACGATGCGTCGTTTCGAGGCGTCAGGTATTTTTGGCCTACAAGGGCGAGAAAAGGCACAGCGTCCACACGGATGCCGCGCAGCGGCGAAGATGCTCGGTCGGTCGACGCGAGGGTAGGCGTTGTGGGAATTTCTACGGAGTGGTGCACAACTGTAACCATATAGAGCCCGAGGCATTGTATTTGAGTCCGAGCGATTGCCGGTTAGTTACCACTTGCCAGTAGTAGTTTACAATGCCGGAGGGGACTGAAGGTGTTGTTCACTTGTGGCAATTAACGAGAGAGAGCGAGGGTGGGTCTGTGGCATGCTGTATACGCTCGTGCGCGTTGTAGCGCTACAGTACCACCTGGCAGTCAAGAGCTGAGGCTCGAAATTGTCAAAGCACACTTTTGTGATGCCCGATGAAGACCCCCCCACACACACACACACGCTCAAGTCTAAGTGTTGAACCGTTGAACCCATCCACTAGGTAGCTGTTGGTGGCCCAAAGATGAGGAAACAAACACCCGCTGTCCCGGGTAAAGCGAAGGGTCCTTTGAGTCATGGCGCTGCATGTTTCGTGTGGGGGGTGGTGGGCGTTTGGTGTTGGCCATGTTGTCTCTTGGGGCGTTTTTTTTGTAGTAGTCTGCTCGTGTGGTCTGCAATCATATACTTGTTTAAGTACTGCAGGGTATACATGCGCATGGCAGCTGAAGACTTGAACGGAATTCGCGGGGGTTGTTTTGTCTCGGTTAACCATGATATGCAACACATATGGACGCGTGTGCGTTTGTGACACACATGCAAACTTCTGCGACTGGTAATACCCTTAGCGGGGAAGTTAGTGATGATGCTTCTTTGATTTGCGAGCGAGACATCGGTATGTACGTGTGTGTTGGGGGGGCGGTTGAGTGCAAGTAATTGATATCACAGCAGCCAACATTAAAACATGATGATGGTACAAATACGAAGTATAGACTAAAATCATGCACGTGTTTCTGACTCGGAATCGATCCTTGTGTCTGAGCGAGGCCAAGGACGAGTGAGTGCGATGACACACTCCCTCCGCTTGCTTGTAAGAAGCCGTTCGTGTGTTTCTGACCATATATGGTTGTCGTCAAATTCCGAATATCGGGCCGCGGTCTAAGTGGACTAGCAAGAAAGCTCAACCTGCGAACACCCACCCCTACACAGACCACGGGGCGTGGTGTCATCCATCCATGGTTGCGCTGCACAAAAAGTGGTTTTACGAGTAGTTTCCCAACACCTCACTCGCCCATCCTGTTGCAAGGAACAATGGATATGGCACCCCGCAAGGTAGTTTGAATGACTTTCAGCAGCATGATTATGTTGAGGCGATGACAACAACCCTCGCGTATGCCGGCAGGACCAAAACCCGGCAAAGCTTGTAACGACGAGTTAGAATGGCGTGCCCCTTCACCCATCCATGTCTTCGGAGGAGAAAATAAGGCAGGGATTGGGCTTTCCCACTCTGCGCTGGGCAACCCCCGGCCTGTACACAACTGTAGCAACGACTCTTGATCAATTGTCAATGCTTTATGATGCGATGGCAACAACGCTGATGAGTGGTTGATGGTGTAGCCCAGGCTGAAAGCGTTTACGGCTGACTGCGGCTCCCCTCAGGATGCCTCGGCAAGGTTGTCGATAGACGCCTCCACTTTTCGCGACTTCTTTTCCGCCACAGTTGACAACTTTTCGGTTTCCTGCGAGTCACACGAGGAAACAAAGGGTTTCGTTTGAACGCGAAGAACATGTGTATGCACACCTTCGCCTGGGGCGGAAATTGTCATCCTGAACAACAATTTAAACCTTCTACATGATTGTTGCGAGGAGCATACTCGTTTGTCCAACCTTGGAAGAGGTGAAGGCTGTGCCATAGAGTAGTTCCGCATCGTGGACAAACAAACGCCCCCCCTAGCGACCCATGATGAATGCTGCAACGTCTGATTTAAAATAATTGTTACTACTGCTGTACAGTGTGTCCCAGAAAAAAAACGGAAAGAGTAGGCGACAACAGTCCGTGAATTGTAGGAGCGCAGCCGTTCTGGGTACATGGATGGGTCGCTTCATGTAGTAAGTGCGGGGACAAAGCGTGCAACCCTCAAATCAAGTTACGCGTAGCTCCAATGCCTCCTGAAAAAAAGGAAAACCTGTTACTACACCTTTATGACCGATAAATTCCACCCAGTCACCAGGTGGGTGCATGTTTTAGGGCAACGTGACTCGGAAAGCAAAGATGGCTTGGCATAGAGGAGTACGGTACGCTCTCGGACAGCTTGTTTTGTGTTAGTTCGACAGAAATGGCCAACCCCAGCCAATCATATTCATTCGCGAACCACATAACGGCATCAGAGACACCATGGCGCGCAATTCTGCGAAAGAACAGCAGACAACAAAAGAGCAACACACAGCGACAACATCGAGCCTCTATTATTTGTTACCTTGGCCAGCTGCTCGAACTCGAGACTTGCTCGTCGGAAGTCGGCCATGGACGACCGGCGCGCCGAGCCCTGGAAGCGATGTGGTGTCTGTAGGACGATGTTGCGCGTGCATAGCAGGGTTTCCCACTTGTCCGTCGACAACTTCACAAGGAACGGCCTGCCAACCAAGCACAATTTTGGAACAAGGATGTGATGCCCAGGCGCAAACAAACAACAGAAAGCGAGATAGAGTTCGCCCGTGAGATCTACTAACCACACCGTTTCGTGGAATTTGTCTCATGGATGGGTGATGATACAAAGCGGCACACTGTCGGACAGCAAGAAGAAAGGTCGAACATACATACCCACCCGCTATCCACCATCTCATCATTGGAACGTGGGCTACAGGGAGGTCAACATTGGAGAGGAGAGGATCACCATTGATTGGTAGCGAATATGAGCTTGTCGGTCGGCGAAGCGTTCAACCATTCACTCGCCAGATTGCTGAAAAGTTGAGGAATCTCCGTAAACTTAAAATGGCTAATGTCGGCGTATTGTCGGGACAACATGACATGTTCCACATGGTGGAGATGTGACGCAGCCTTGTTTATTGAGACCCACATACAAGGGGTGCATTTCCGGTGGGGACGTCTCCAAACTCCAAACAAACACTTCCAACGCCAATGCATCAAAACAGGACTACTGACTCGACAAGTTCAAGTCACCGTTTGCATATCAGGGCAAGGTTATTCTTAAAACGCAAGCAAGGCATCATGCGTACCAACATGCCGAGGGCATTGTGATCGACGGAACGCGACCAGCGTGTTTACTAGCGGGAGAGAGGGTATTTTCAAACTCCTGCGGTTCACCTCATCCCGCTGTACACTCTACCTTGCAACTACGACGCACCTGCGGCCCTATTCTCTAACCCCCCCCACTTGCACTCCCTGTTTTCCCTCGAAACTCTTGGCCTCAGTATTTAAGGCCAACCATGCCCCGCTTCGTCTTGCGCGGGTTTACCTGTGCTTAGCTTTGTCGTCGGCCCTATCCTGGGGCGTCATTTCGCCGGGCTTTGTCGTCCACGGCACCATGGTGGTGCTGCCGGGGATGACCACCGCCCCACCACCCGTGGAAGTTGTAGCCGCCGCTCTTCCGCCACCTAGCCAAAGTTCGCGCATGGATCAGATGTTGGATCTCGGGTCACAAGGCGTTGAAGAACGATGTGCTGCTCCATCGCCTCAATAATGAAGTACGCGGCAAGTCGCCTCTGCGCTGTTGGGCAGCCAACAAGCTAGCCCACCTCACGCATACGTACACACACGGACAGATGCGTAATGCCTTTAATCCGGAGAGTAGCTTATCACATGACGCCCCCTCACGGGGTCCCGGGTCGTGGCCTTTAGAAGCATTCTGTGCTTTCAACCGCGCTGAGACTGACGTATTTTCCTTGTCAGCCGGCTAGCGCGGTCGATGCGAACAACATAACACACAGACGGGCCCTGGCCTCACGTCGGATGGGGACAGCTTGGCCGAACACGTGGCATGTCTGTACCTCTTTGTCGCTCGTCCTTGTCGTCGCTCGAAGAGCTGGAAGAATCCTCGGTTTCGGTAATAGTTTCCCCCCCCTGCTCTCCTTTCCCTTCCACGTTGACTTCGTCGGGCACCTTGAGTCTGTACGGATGTGGCGAGGTCCGTACAAAATTTTTGTTGTAAGCAGATGTGTTCGGACGCTCCCTCTTCCCCCCTCAAGAAACTTTTCTTGGCGCCACCAATCACCACATTTGTTAGCCAGGGGCGTGCTCCACCCGATTAACAACAATCGAGAGGATTCAGCGCTGTACATATCGCTAAGCATCACACCCCGTAACAACGACAATTGAATCCACTCTCTCGTGACTTGAAGGAAGGGTGTTCAGGCCACAATAGGGGACTATGGCGACCTTGAGAACTCACTCCCAGCGCTGCGGTGTTGCCGTTCGGTCACGAACTATTCGCTCAGAAATCGAGGGCCAAACGACGCGATGACAGGAAATCAAGATCATCATGAGCAATTTGGGCAACAAGCCGACAGGCTGCTGTCGGAGCAGCTGGATGCTGCTGGCGGGGTCCCGAGCCATCAAGCTCGCCAGCTCACTGTCCCGCAACCATTATTACGCCGCAGATCTTTTATTGTTGGATTCATTTTGGTTGGCGCTGAATGCATCTCACCGGTGCTGGAGGTACTCAACCCGAAGCGCCGTCATGGCCTTGTCTGTTGCCTCTCGACGCTCGTCTTTGCTCATCGATTCAAACTGCCCGACGGCGTTCGCCCTCGCCACCTTTGCAAGCGCGTAGTTGGAAGAGAGAGAAGGTCATCAGTCTTCTTCTCGGAGTGCTGCAACCACGGAAACCCTGCTGCTCGTAAGTCTAGATAATTTGTTTTTCATGGGCGTTCGGCAAATATGTGTGGCCTCACCATCCCGGGTGTCTGTCACACAAAGTGTTGATTCGAAAATCGCATCGATACGTGTCGCGATCGTTGTTGGTTACTGTATGTGTTTCCATTTTGCCTCGTCTGGCCTGGCCGGTTCTGATGGTGTTCGAGCGCGAGTGCTTTGTTCTCACGGAACAGGAGAGTGCCGCACTACAGTATCTGCGGCAATAACCCAACACAGGGCGATCAACGAAGGCCCACGACAACCCTCCAGTCCATCATCCCACCCCCCCCCAACCATCCAGCCGAACAGCCGCTCAATCCGACTAAGTGTTTGCCCGTTGCAATGAAGCAGGAATCAATCGATCCACCGAGACACTGACCGCTTCGGTCTTGTGCACAGGTATCTTGGAGACGTCCACGAAGATGGCGGGGTAGTTGTAGCCCCTCTCTGGGCAGCGTGTCGAGATCGTCATCAACCCCTCGTCCGCGTTGAGGTGGAGGGCCACGTCGATAGTTTCCTTGCTCCTCCAAAAGAAACGGGAGCCCTGCGCATGCGGCAGACGAGGTAAAAAAAAGTGCATATCTGACTTTGATATTGTTTTTCGAGCGATGCGGGTCGGGTGTCGTTCGTGGGTGCGTTTCTCTTGTATGCAGGACACGAACTACTGTAAAAGCCTTCTCTGTGAGTGCATGGGAACGGCGGCGCCTCGAGAGAGTTGAGCGCATTTCCGGGGTGCCAGGAGCAGTGGAGCAGACCAACATGTTTGATTATTGATATCCCTGCTAACCTGTTAAAGTAACCTGGTTTCAGGCGTAGTGACTATTAAATGCCTTGCCTACGATCAGCGATGGTCGAATGTTAACAACGGATTACTGGGAACTGCTCGCTTAGCACCGTTTCGTTTGTCCCCGCGACCCGCCCATTGGCTTTCTTTAGCTGGCTGACGATGAAGAACCCGGTATACCGTCTGGTTCACGTCTTTTTCCGAGTGGTTTGTACTCTATTCTTGTTTTGTTTCCCCGCGGCGTCGTATGTGCCGGGTTTTGCGAACACGGGCTCCCCATTTTTGTGGACTAATAGAGCTAATGTGAGAGAAACAACAACAACCACAACAACGTGGGATTCCAGCGTTTGAAGTGACATCGGGTTGAAATAACGTTCGTTGTGGGTAGAATTTCTTTTTCCGCGGATTGCACAGATTTCTGAGGCATGGACAACAACGCGAGACGCCACAAGCGCAACAACTGCATACCTACCTGATGGACTAGCTCCCCGATGGGGACCGCTCTCAGGGAGGACCGGCGTCTAGCGATTTTTCGAGCAGCCACGTTGAGCTCGTCTTTGCTCTCCGCGTTGTTTAGTCTGACATGCGTTCATTGGCGTATTGGAGAGACGGCCACAGGAACCAGGGGTAACAACGGCATTCAAGACTCGGTGCATTCGCCATCAGTTGCGTCATGTTAAATTGTAGGCCGGAGGCTCCAGACACGTACACGAAACAGACCAACAACCCGCGTTCAAAGGCGAGAACGACTCGGCAGCTCATCGTCCAGAGGACTGCTTCACAGCCTTACCTTCGGGCTTTCTCGGCCCTCCAGGGGAGGGAGGGGATGCTGAGGCAGAAGGTCATGAATTCGTCGAGCTCTACCGTCCCGTTCCCGTCCGTGTCGAAGACGGTCACCAGGTGCTCCAGCTCCATCTCGTCGAGGTCGAACGCGCGCTGCCCCAGCTTGCGGAGCGCGGACTCAAACATCAGCGGGGTCACGGACGCCTGTGAGACGTACACATGCGCGGAATCGGAGAATCGCGCACGACGAGAGAGAGCCAGCCCGGGGAGCCCGGGGGTTACGTCCAGGATGCACCAGTTTCTTGGGGGCAGCCTGGGACACTTCAAGGAGGTCGGGATAGCTGACACAAAGAGAGGCGGCCGCTCTAATATCGTTGTCTGCTTGGATCTTACACCAAGGTGTGAACGCTCAGGGAACTGCCGGTAGGAATATCTATTGAACGTATGTACGTCTCAGGAGGGAGTGGTCAACATCGTGCTTGTGGTGTTGAAGTACTGAGCGATGTTGCTCTCACCTCTCCACCTGGCGCAAAGTGCTCGAAAAGTCTCTCCGCGGACATGCCCCTCTCCTTCGCCTTCAGCAAGAGAGTGCGGCAGTGCAACATCGGGCGTACGGGAGATTCTTTCTTTTCGTTTTTCTGTGGGTGACGGTGGTCGTAGTTAGCAATAGAGAGGTCTGTGACAGTCGGAGCGAGCGTCATCCCCTCGATTTTCGTTCCTGCTCATAGATGTATCCCCTACCCCAAGAAACCAGAAGTACCCCTCTCTCTAGGCATTCTCTAGCCGCCTCCCTCAGCCTCTTAGTACGTGGAAAACCATATTTCGTGGTGCGGCAGGTCAATGAGGGGCGGGCGGCTTGGACCACAATATGGTGCCGTGCACGCATGCCTCATCAGAGAGGAGCATGGCTCAGCTCCCCTCATCGAGGGGTACTCCCTACACAGTACGCGGCCTCCCAAAATCAAGCTAGTAAAGACCGGTCGCAGGCAGACGAGTTCTACTTAGACGGCAAGAGACAGCTATTATTAATAGTCGCAGGCTGGCTGGCGGGTTCCATTTCGACGGTAAGAGACAACAATTACAGTACGAAAAATGGATCACAACAGTCGAAGGGGATGGTGTATTTGTTGTATTCGTTGTTCCCGCGCTTCTTGGGAACTTTGACCTCCGGACCGTTTCCCCTCCTCACCTTAGTTAGCAGCACCTGCAGCTTCTCTACCGGGCTGACGTCGCCAGCAGCTTCCACGGCCGCGGCGGCTTCGTCCCTGAGTACCGTCGACGCCACCGCCCTCATCACCGTGCTTGCGACCCCCATCTTCCAAAATGAATGCAAACCAATGGCACGGGAGTTGTGCCAGCGCGCGAGGGCGATAGATACGGACAGAAGGGACAAGGGGGCGAAGACGTGACCACCCGTTGGCGGTGATTTGGCCGTGGGCTGTGAGATTTTCATCTAGCGGAGAGGGTTTCAATAGCTTTCCGCTACTTCTATTATTGGTGGGATTTGTGCGAGGGCGTGTAACGCGGGCAGGGGGGTAGGGGATTGGGAGGTGGGTAGAGCCTGGAGACCGTTTAGGCAATATTTTTTGTCGCAATAGATTAGGACGATCAGGGGATTGACTGCCCCCCTAAAAGAAGCCACGAAACGGTTGGCCTCACTTGCGTTTTCATCTGAACAATCAGACTGCCTCTCCCCTCAGATACAGGTACCACACTGTCACTGAAAAGTACCTGCATCAAAGAGCTCTTGCGGCGCTGCTTCCGGGCGTTCTCGGCACTCTCCCGCCTATTCTTCTCCGCCTCTTGGCTGTCCTTCCCCTAATGTCCAAGGTGGGTCAGAGGGTGCATCACAAATGACTCTTGGAGCGGGAAACATTCATCATTTGCTTGGGTATCTCAGGGGCGCGTCTTTTCTCAAGATCTCGTAAGGTTCAACGCCGTAGACAAGAACCGGTTATTCGTAAATCGTGAGGGAAACCCAGTTCTGACGACTTTTCACACGACAAAACAATGTCATCATCAAACAAGATTTGTCTGTTTGACGCTGGATTGAATTTCTGCAGATGAGAAACCAAAACGTAGGATCAGGACACGCTGCGAGCGGTCGAGGTAGGAGAGATGGCTGATAAACCATGCGGACATGTTGCTCTTGGTTTGTGAACGTTGAGTACTTGTTGACTGAGGCCGCCAAAGGGGATTTCATGGGCGTTCCTCAACGTCGACGGGAAAAAACTTCTAAAAAACACTACGCATGTCACTTTGATTTTGGTCGATGCGTTGGAAAACGGTCTAAGCTTGTGGCATCCGCGCAGCCGTTTGTCCAATAGGTTACGATGCCTCGACCATTCAACCTTCGGGCCGAATACAACTGGGTTGAAACATTGCACTCTGCGTCGACAAGCAGATTTCTCGTTTCGTATATGTAGATGCGTACAGAGCTAACAAACCTAGCCTAGACAGGCAAAGTTACTATTTATATACCTGTAACAACGGGGTACCATTTCCCGCAATGATCTACAGTGTCTTGGCCTTCGGACTCACGTTAACATTGACAACCCCGGACACGCTGACACGCATTGTTGCTGTTGCGTTGTTTATTGAGCTGCTGCTCCTCCGCTGGCGCGCTCGGGGCACAGCGGCCGAGGGCGACTCCATGCCCGTTCCCTTGGGGTCGCTGAGGCTAGCCATGTCTGCGCGCTTCCGTCTTTTTTGACGGCGTGCACGGTAAAAGCGCCGTATCTCGGTTAACATGACGATATGTTGGATGCAATAGATTTAACGCCGTGACAGAAACACTCGGGATTAACGTTACTACGAAAGAGCTGCGTGGGTCTGCAGTACTTTCGAATTTGAGTATCATCAACACACCCAAAATTACATACTCCCATTGATCCTGTCAAAACCGAACCCTCCTCGAGGCGTTGGTCCACACGAGAGAGCTCTCTCCGTCTGCACGAGACAGGAATGGCGCAATCTGAGATATGATATACCGCTAACCGCTAACAACCTACTGTAGATGGAAGCTCCAAAATCTATATGCTCCCGTTTACAGTGGATAAGAGGAAACAACCATTTGGCTATCATACGACTTCGACTTGTTGCCTCTTTGGCCAATCGCACAGCGTTTTCCGCGCGTTTGCACTTCGGCTTTTCGGCGCAAGACGTGCTGCGCATGTTTTCTGTTATCTCGACCAACAGCATGTAGAATGATACGTATTTCATCGAAGTCCATGACACGCCAAAGCAGCGAATTACTCGTGCCATCTGTCGTTGGGCAACAGTACGATATTCAACATGGGTGGCTGGTTGACGGAAGACATCATGCATGTACTGCACATTCCGTACAACATGTTCAATGCATCTCTCGACTTATCTACAGACTACTCATATCATCAGGTCAGCGCGAGGTCCTTTACGACGAAACGAGCCAGCAGCGGGACTAGACGTGGGCAGTCACGCCTACCTTATCTTATGCTCGGTTGCGAGTGGCCGCCTCTCCTCTCTTGGGTATTCGGAGCTTCCCTACTACGCAAAGTGATGCGGCGGGTACTGCTGCCTTTCGTCGGTTGACTGAAAAACAAATGGCGGTTTCACATCGTGCGGCCTGATTAATTACGCCGCTGGTAGATACGCATGAAGTTCGTCCTTTACCGGACCTGTTGTAGAGATCTTTATTGCTGTGTCGATGTTGCCGGGGGGGCGAGTGGAACGAGTGTGCAGTGTGACAGCAGGTCAGCAGGCGGAGAATCGTTCTTCGTATGAGGCCATCTACTGTACGTTGTTGGTAGTCTCTCACTGCTTGCAGAGACCCGAGAGGTCATCATGTAGGAAACAGAATAGATCGAGATGCGGGGGAATAAGAAAAAAACAATAAACGATGCTTTTTCGTGTGTCTAATTAGAATGAAGACAGAGCACATGACTGCGATGCTAACATCTTCACCAATTGCAACACACAAGTTTATCCAAATGTACGTTTGCTTTTGCCTCTCCGCACGGGAACACGCGTGTTCCACTTCTTTCTTGAAACTCCCGCAACCAACCGTGTGTTGGCGGGCTTTCGTCGATTTCTTGAAGTTCTCGCCCAAAACGAGAACGCAACGAACTCGTTGGGTGCCTGCCATGCGCAGACTCAACGAACTTGGATGTTGTTCGAATTACATGTCTTGGTGTCCGCGATTGGTCTATCCAGCTTGAAGGTGGGCTGGTAACCGTTCCTTGTCGTGCAGCATTTTGGAATGACCGAAGCCCCTCCACACCACCACACACACACAACCAAACACCCAATTATTCTCCGGAAATCATCTTCTCCACAGACAAGACCAAACTCTACCGTGCAAGGCTGCGCCAGTGATCTGCGTACGTACCTGCTCGGTTCAACCTATACAAACAAGTGAAGCCCTTGATACATTTCCGGAGAAACTCGGCACATAACCCCACGAGAACCTGGCCAGACCCAGTTGTTCACAACAATGCATGATGCCAATATGCCGTCAGCAAGGAACGGAGCCACTATCAAACACAGTCCCGAGGTACAACACGGCCCAGAGAAAAAAAGGGAGACCATCTCCCCTTGCCTTTCCCCAACCTGGCAGCCACAACGCCCATGCCCCCCCGCAATGGACGGGCGAGACGTTGGCACGTGTCGGCAACTATCTCCGGTGTGAAGCCACGGGCTCGCCGCAAGGCGGACCTCGCCTTACCTCACCACAGTTATCTCTCGGGAATCCATAACACACGAAATCGCGCGACTTATCGCACGACAAAACCCCACCCCACAACAATCTTTACAAGTGATAAAATATCAGGAATACCAAGCACACGCACGCCTATCGCGCGACATGTTCTTCGCACAAGAACCAACCGAATCAACAAAAATAAACCCCGTGATCAGCAACAACTGCCGCAGTTCTTCGCACCAGAACAACGGGACCAACAAATTAACTTTAACCTCGTGAGCAAACAAAGTGCCGCCAAAGAGCGGCGAATACCTCACGAGAAAAAAAACAAAGCGCCCGCGCACCTCGCAGCACGCAAGGGGCGGGCGGGATGACCACCTCAAGGCACAAAGCACCGAAACGCAAGCAACGTTGAGCATCTGCGGCAAGAAAATAGTCAGCCGTTGACGACGTGCAAGGCCGCGCTGGCTCAACCCCGGCCGACCGTTTCTCTCGCGCGGAGATGGACACGTCACGCAAGGCTGCTGTAGATTGCGGAAGCTTGTCAGCTCATGAGCGGGTTGGAGCACTCGTGCTGGCTGCAGTAGTCTCTGTAGTAGCAGAGCAGGGACATGGGCTGCCCCACCACGCAGAAAAGCAACCAGAAGAGCCAGTTCCCAGCCTTCGTTTTCGTCATACATGATGGTCGATCAAAAATCGCGGAGCGAGGAGAGTGGACGGATAGGGGGGAGTGTAGTCAGGTTTTGCATGCCTTCCTGTAGTTATCACATCATGGACAGAACGAGGACTGGAAGGAGGGGTGGGTGGCAACGGCGCGTGAAGAGGCTTCACTGACTCAGCCGAAGTTCGTTTTCGATGTGGGGAAGCACGTTCGGGTATCCCTCTCGAAACAGGAGGTGGTGCCTCGGTCTTCTCCTTACTGAAGGATGATTTTCGGCAACTGCTGGGCCGAGCGCTGCCTGCTCTTGTTTCCTAACCTTCTGCAAACATGCACGGCGACATACAGCCGAAGTAGGGTCAAATTGCACGACTACTGCACTGATCTCACCTGCTGATCGTCGCCAAAAGTATCGTTCAGCATGCTGGTCAACGGAACCAACGGAGCGTTCCCGATCATGCCGAAGAACGCGTAAAACTTCACCTGTTTCGGCGTTGCAGAGACGAAGAGCGAGCAGGCGACATCCAGGGAGTGGGCACCAAGCGTTGTCGGTACTCCGCAGGTTTCACGAATGCACGCCACACCGACTCTGATCGGGCGTTTACCCTTCGAGACTCGACAAGGATAACAAACACATATTCTTACCAGCTGCATCATCTCTCTCTCGAACGTGCGTACGTACGCAAGCGTGGGAGCGGTATTGACTGCTAGAGTACAGGGTCATGACAATGGAGACTAATAGCCACGACCACGGGGCGAAGCAGGGCTACACATCCAACCTCCTTGCCTCTTTTGGGTCGACCAGCAGACTAAAGGATTGCGGCCTACCATGCTTTCGCTTTCGGGTTTCACGCGCAAGTAGGCGTTGTTATTCTGGGTTCAGCTTCGAGCATACCAACAACAACAGCACCAACATGCCGTAGATCGTCATCTCACCATGTGAAAGGGCACCGAGACCAGGAGCTCGTGGAGCACCGCAGAGAGCAAGAAGCACAGCCCCGAGGCCATGCTCTTGCTCAGCCCCGCGCGCAGAGAAGGAAAGTAAATGTGACGAATCTTCGATTTTTTGTCGAAAAACCACGGAAAAGGAAGCGCGTGTGCGTGTTGTGGGGGAGGGTGAAACCCGAAAACATCGAGGATGTAAGCATGGGTTGCTTGGAACCATGAGAGAAGTGTCAGGCAAATGACAAACCACTCAAAAGGGAAACTGGGGCTGGCTCAATTCGCGATGTGATGAATCCCCTGGGTGACGTGTGCGTGCCAGCAGCAGCAACAATCCGTACAAGTAGCTGCTGCGAAGATATCGCAGGCTGGTGCACAGCCAACAGCAAAGGTCTGCAGTTGCTGGGCGCTGTTTTGGGTCTCGGCGTGCTACGGAACCAAAAAAAAAAAAAAACGGCGGCGACGACTCCCGGACAAGGTCTACGTGCATCGTGACGAGGATGGAGTGTGAGCCTAAGGGACGGGCTCTGCCCTAGCTCAAGACTAAAATTCACAATCTGCGTGGCCCCCGATCTCCGTCTTCGCCGAAGCAGCTGCGGTTAACTACTTGTACGCTCCCGCTCACCATCCAGTAGTGCACCGGAAGGTTCCACAGTCGCCAGTACGACCCGATGGTATTGGCGTTCCACCAGTCCCGGTAAAAGAGTCGGTCACCGAACCTCAACACCTGAAACATAAAGAAATAAAGGCGGAAGGAAATACAGTAGTTGAGGCCCACAGAAACGTCACCACCACAGAGAAAACATGACCTTTTACAGGTTTTTCTTTTTTTTGTTGTTGGGTGGTTGAGTTTCGAGATCGAGCCACAAAGCACGTGATAGAGCCGGTCACCGAACCTCAACACCTGAAAAAAAAAAGAAAAAGACGGAAAGCCATACAGCAATTGAGGCCCCCACAGAAAACCACAAGAAGCGTCACGACCACAAGACTCGATTCTACTTTTTTTTGGCCTTTTCGGATGAGGGTTTCGTTGAGATTCGATGGGCTCGGTCGAGTAAAAAAAGCGCTAGCTGCGTGAGCTGTTGAGCTCCGCCAACGTCACAAACAACTGGCAGCCGGCACAGCCAGCTGTGGGCCGGTCCTGCTGCCTGCTATTTATTGCCATCTTACATCGCCCGTTGATGACACTGCTGAGTATCTAATGAGCCCACTCCCGAGAGGTCCCTTGTGGAATTCATATTCTGCGAAAAAAAATATCCCACATCGGAATCCGTCCGGGATACATACTCCATACAACGAAAGTTACACCACGGCCACACGCACAAATCCAGACACAAAAGGAGGCCTGAGAAAAACGACGCGACGCCATACACACCGCTGGGGACTTGAAGCACTATTCAGTTAGTTGTCGGGGTTTCTACTGCTTGTGCGGCGTATTTCGGGGGGCAGGCGAGACCAACAAACCTCGGCCAAGAGGTTGAGGGTGAGGTGGAAGAAGGCGTAGAAACCCAGCAGCCAGACGTAGGTGTTCGGGACGGCGAGAGTCAGCAGCCGCTCGATCGAGACCAGGATGTTGGCGGCGGGGTCGGAGTCGTACCACTCGTGCACGGTGGGCAGCATGTACTGCTCGCGGAGTCAGGTTTGCAGCGGGGGGGGGGGGGGGGGGGGGGGCCGGAAAGGGCCCCCCCCGGGGGGGGGGGGGATTTTGGGGGGGGGGGGACAAAAAACCCCCCCCCGAGGGAAAAGGGGTTTTGAAAAAAAGGGGGAACCCGGGAAAAACCCGGGGGGGGGACCGGGAAAGGGGTTGAAAAAAAAACGCCCCCGGGAAAGGGGGTTGGGAAAAAAGGGGCCAAAAAGGGGCCCCGAAAGGGGCCCCCCTCCCGGCAAAAAAACCCCCTTAAAAAA